AAAATGGAAATGGTCATCACTAACTATCTTACCCCCAAACCTCGAAACCCTCAACCCAAAAAAGCCCAAGCCATCATAGAATCCGTATAGATTCCCATAAAGGGGCGCTTAAAAGAGCCGGCTGAGGTACGGACGGATCTGGCGACTTGGTGGCCGCTTCTTGCAGAAGGCGGCGGACGCCCAACAAAGGGGCTTCAGTGAGGGTTTAGGGTTTAATGGTGTAGGGTGTAGTTTTGGAATAAGAACAACAAGAGCATTCATCGTCACAGCAGTCATAATTGCAAGAACAGGGGCCGCAAGAAGAATAATAACAGTAATTGCAGTAAGAACAACTGGTAATTGTAGTTTAAATCATGGTGATACTGTTACCTCGTTTTTTGCTCTAATTTCCTTATCTTTCTAGGAATCCCCTGAGGTGCGTGAACAGATGTGAAGGGTTGCAACAGTTGCAGCAACAACAGTCATATTACTAATAATGCTACTAGCGCCTACTGTACCGGTATTACTACTGATGCTAGCTGTGAAGAGACCTCGATACCTAGTGCAATGTTAACATACATCACATGGGCCGTCTTGGACGACCATGTTGACATGCCACGTGGGCTGTCTTGGACAACCATGTTGGCCAATCGGCTATGAGACATACTCCGGCGAATGTTTGGCTCAAGTCAAAGGTCATACTCAAGGCACGAGCTCGAAGAGCACGAGGCAGAGGACAAAAGGTAGAACACTATCTTAGCTTGTCTCCGGATATCTGCAACTGCGTGTATCGCCCCTTGCACAGACACTTCAGCTGTATCGCGAAGAAGCGAAAAGAGACGTGAAGGTGCCTGCTCGGGTAACGTTACTCAGTGCATGTGCATAGGCAACCACAACCTCAACAAGAAGCTCGGTGAGGTGAGCGAACATACAGTATATCAAGATCAAACCCTCACGCAGGTTATCAGCCGTAGGCTCTGCCTACACACGGATTACGTCATCGAGTTGATACACAAACAATGACGTCTGGATCAAGTGCAGACACTACAATGACCTTTGGTGGCGATGTGGCAATGCCTGCCGTCGCAGATTCAACTGTCGACGACGTAACAACTATCTCTGTGGACTCAGCGACCACGGATGATAAGAATGGGGCAAAACCATCAGGATCGTCACAACATGTCAATCAGAGAACAAGGGCAAGATCGTTGCCAAGAAATTTGTCATCGCCAAGATCTTCATCGACAGGATCGAAGCCTAAACCACTCGAGAAACGACCATCAAAGACGGTGATGCAATGTCTACAGTTGTCTTCCAAGACAAAGGAACGTGAGGTCAGGAGTCCTGAGAAGGCGAGATCAAAATCCTCTTCTCGGAGTTCATCGCGGAAAGCAGTCAGGAAACCGCTTGAGTCCTCGCCACCTTGGGTGAGAGGACGAGATGCGGGCCAGGATCCGTTGCCTTGGGCGGGGAACCTTGGTGTAGCATCCGGGAGTACTGACAATGCTGACGCAATGTTGGACAAGGCTATTCACCATCATCTACATGGCAATGATCCTATTGGTCTTCAGGATCAAGGAGGTATGACTCCAACGCGCCAAATGCTGACACTTACGGAAGAAGATCGTGTACAACAAATCCTTTATGCTGAAGAAGAGATGAAGAGAGCTCATGAACGTGAAGTTCAGAAGCATGAGGAGAACGCGATCATGATGAACGAGCAGGTGAAGCGGATGGTGCAATGGTTGGAATTTCACCAAGTAGAAGATCAAGGATCCACCATGAGGATCGATAAACTTGAACGACAAAGGGACCTTCTATCGAACCTGGTTGGACACGTGAATCGTCGTCATCAAGAGACTACCGAAGAGTACGTCCACGTAGTGAGAGGTATTGAGGAAGCGAGTTCGGCCCAACGTCAACGTGATGAACACACGGCAGAAGCTTTACACCAGGAATTGGGTCAGCTACGCAACGAGGCTTCACAGAGTTTCGTCGAACTGGAACATATGGCTCAGAATGGTGAATACAACATGGCCATGCAGTACCAGAAGTTGACGCATACTCTGACTGAGAAGGCTCATGAAGCGTTGAAATACAGGATGGAAGCATCCAACAGGGAATCCGAAGTGGCAGCGATGCGCGAGGCAATCGAGATGATCAGAGGAGAGGAACACATGGCAAAAGAAGAAGCGAGAAGCTCAATCCTTGCTGCGGAATCTGGAGTGTATTCTCTACGAGACCGATTGAGCAAGGAAGAAGCAGCTAATCGTGATGCTAACGCGGGAATGCTTCAAGCAGAAGCTTATGCTCGCCAAGCATCTGAACGTGAGCGCCCGATTACTGCTCTACACAGTGAACTGGGTGCACTACGTCTTCGACTCAAGCAACAAGAAGAACTACAAGCGCGCAGTCAACAAGCGTGGAAGCTGGAGATCGAGGCGGAACGCTTACGAAGCCAACGACACTCTCAAAGATCGTCGAATGCACCATACTCATCGAGAACTTCTGAGACGGGATGGGAATTTGTGAGTAGCCAGGTAGGTAGTCAGAAAGGGTCTGCAGTTCCGGTAGCTAGCGAGGTGCGATCCCCTGACGTCGGCTCTCCAGGTGTGCGCAGTCCTGTTAACGGAGGGAAGGCCATCATTGATACTTGCTCCGCAATATCCCCAATCGTGCAAGATGCGAACGTTGATCAACCGAGTCCGATGTTTCCGGCAAGTTTGGCGCCAACTACGCGTACTACTCTCACTGGAAAGGAAGTGCGGGACAATCAACTTCGTGAACTCCTTAGAATGCGAGGTATGCAGGGAGCATCTTCAGCATCATCGAGAAGTGTACCGATCAATGCTGGTGCGTCAACTGGGACAACCAGCAAGAACATCTTCATTGAGGAAAACGATGATGTAAAGACGCAAACCCTCATTGCCGAATTGGTCGAGCAAGACGTCCTCAAGGCGGACAACGTCAGTAGGCTAGATGATTATATGAACGGGTTTTCATATGAGGCGCTGCCTTGGGCACGACTCGATCAATCACGCTGCGAACGAATTGCTCGAATGGCGAACACCGCCCCGTCGGGCACCCAAGTGGATGCTGACGGCAAGTTGAGCAAGATCGAGGCAGAAATGGTCAAACTTCGTCTTGGACTTAGTGAAGCCAGGAAAACTGAGGAGAGATTGCGCGAAGATCGGAATATATAACGACAGACTGCTGAGCAATTCCAACAGGAATACGACCAGGAACAAGGCGAAAACGGAGGGTTTTGTCACGAAGAAGAGTTGGCACCTTCCGAATCTCCCACGAATCTTGGCCCTCGTGCTCCTGGCGGAGGTGATGGAGATGATGATATGCCATCCAAGGGACGTAAGCGACGCGGAGGCGATCCAGACCCTGATCCCCCTGATGATGTAGACGAAGAAGGCGGTCATGAAGTCACTTCAGTCAAAATATCTAGGAGGGAAGCAGCCAAGGTTGTGGTGCCACCTTTTCCGAAGGTCACACACCTTGACAGTTGGATGGCAAACTGCACAGCGAATGTCCTTGGTGCTTGCGCAGATCCAAACCACGAGGAGTGGATAGCCTGGCTTCAGCCAGCGTTTCGTCCAAACCCTGACATTGACGCGCTGAATGATTCCGGTGACATCAAGTTCAAGAGCATGGATGTGAAGCTGGGTGTAGCCATGACAGCCATGATCAAGAACGGTGGTGACGGTGCACAGGACTTGTACTTGAACCTACCGATCAGCAAACAAGTTGATGCGCGATCATGCAAAGCTACTTAAGGGAAGGCAGATCATCGCCATGATGTACGAAAGTTTCAGGACGCGTGATCGATTGGACATGATTGTCTCTCTCGACTATCTCATCAGGTTGCAATATCAAGGTGACCAAAAGATGAACACGTTCAAGCAAACATGGTTGGAAATCATTGATCGAATGCGACCTGAAGATGTCCCATCCGAGACAGCATTGAGGGACACGCTATACTCAAAGATCAAGGATTCTCCAGCGCTGAAGCAAGAACTTTGCGTACATTATGATATGCTGAACTACGATGACCCCAATCGTTCGTACCAGAAACTCCTTCATATCATGGAGAGATGTATTCGGAGGAATCGAGAGAACAGGAACCAACAGCAGATCAGCTCTGGTCTCAACTTGATGGTTGCTGGCAAAGACTCACTGTCCGCTCTCGCGGCAAAAGTCAAAGGAGGTGGAAAGGGCAGCGGCAATACATCCGACAAGAAGGGCAATAAAGCGGACAACGAGAACGCAGCTCCAGTTCTTCCCCAGACCAAAGCCAAGGCACATGCTAAAGCCAAGGCGAAGGGTAAACCCGACAAGAACAAACAAAGGGAAAGATCTGAATCTACGGATGGAAAGCCGAACTTGAAGCACATCAGATGCAGGTTCTTCTTCTCTGAGCACAGCTAGTGCAAGAACGGGGATCGATGCCCGTACAGCCATTCGAAGAAGACGCCTGAGCGAGAACGGAGTACAACTCCTGGGCGAAGGCGAACAGCAGGAAACAGTCCTTCGACCGATAACAAACAAAAAGTGTGCTACAACTTCAAGATGAGCGGAACCCGCAGTCGCGACAATTGCCCATATGCTCACATCAATCCTGCCACACCGGCAGAGACCGAAGAAAAGCCCGAGGCTAAGGCCAAGGCCAAGGCGAAGACGAAGCCGGAAGCCAAAGCCGAAGCAAAAGAAAAGGCAAAAGCAAAGGGCAAACCAAAGACCGCAGCTCCAGCAATAAGAATGTGCAGAGCGTGGAATCCTCTTGCTCCAGCAGTGCGTAAGAAAGCATGCGTTGAATACGATGAAGAGTCCGAATGTTCTTCCATCGACAGCGACATCGATTCGGATTGTTCCACGGATGATGAACGGGATGGGACGACTTGGTCGGCCAAACCGAAAGTGGAAAAACGAGTGTCATTCGCTGGTGATGTGACGTTCCAATCATCACGACCAAGAAAGTCCAAGAAGGATCGCGGTGAGAAGATAGTCAAGGTCAACATGAAGAGATTCATCGAGAGCGAGAATCGACCAAATGAGATAGGGTTCGCGATGCACAAGGCTCGTTTGAGAGCACAGCTGATGAATGACATGCTAGCGGATGACAAACCGGGCGATCGACAAGTATACGTACGAATCCCCGGAACTGACGAAGCCAAGCAAATC